AAGACCCAACAGCTTTTTTGGGGGGGGAACAATCTTGTTAGATCTCTCAAACACAGAGAGATACCTCTGTGTACCTGCAGGTACCTCAAATCAGGGGCAAAGACACAACTATTTCTGCTTTTAGATTCTGTAATGATTCCAGTTTTTAGAATATGTTCCTAATTTCTATGTGCAGTATTTATGCCATCCATTCAGAAAAGATAGCAAGAAATCACAGTTAAAGGGGAAGAATATCCTCCTGTAATAACATATGAAGGAACCAAGAGGATGAGGACACACTGTTCTCTACCTGCATACTTTTTGATCCCACTCTCCTTCTCACTCATCTGTCTCACATGGACAAAGATAACAGTGCTGGGGCTGGAAAACAAAGTGTTACCTGATATGCTTGATTTTCCCCCATCTTAGCATGGTTTTCCATGGTGGAAGCAACTTGACTGTACTCATCTACCACTGGCCCTTTGATCTGCTGCTAGGAGAAGAGGGAATGAGACAGAAACTGAATTTCTCCCACATCTGTCCTCTACTCCCTCCAATTTCCCTGTAGCCAGAGCTAGAAAGTCACTGTTCTGAGCACTGAACTACCCTGGATAGTGAATATTCAAACCAGGCCATGCTGCAGTGTATGCAGTATATGCAAATATTGCCAAAGCATCTAGCAAGAGAGCCCCTTGGGCACTTATCAGAGGTGGATCAAACCCACCCAGTGTGGCATTACAGTCTTGCCTACACCAGAGCAGCTGGCTATAACATCTGCCTTTGTGCCAGTGTCTTTCTCATCCCCCAGTCTGCCATGCACACAGGGGGGTTGCTAAGGCAAGAGCATGTCTCCACAGAAGCTAGCAAAATGGGAACTTGACCTCAACCACATATTTTTGAGCAATGCAATAAAACACTATGGTGAGGTAAAATGCATTACCTCTTAAAGAATGGGTTAGAGTGAGTGGAACAGCAACAGATCTGCAGGGCTCCCACTTGATTGTGTTCCACTGTGCAGAGGTTCCACTGTGTTCCACTGTGCAGAGGTTGCCCTTAAGCAGTGCAAATATGAGAAACACTGGAAAGGAGGAAAGGCATCTGATATTTGCTTCAAAGTGGCAGGGAATAGGCATGACTTAATTGTGAGTGGCACTATTGGAAGCCGCGCTTGACACTATTCACCCTGCTACCAGAAACACTGACTGTCAAGGGAGACCTGTAAATTCAACTGTATAGAGATATGACTCTACTGATTCTTTCTGCTGAAAGATGATCACAAGCAATACTTGCTTTCAGAGATGGGTAGATGAAAAACACACAGCATAGCTATCCCCCTTTATTAGAGTGTTGTGGCCTTACCAAACTAGCAACTTTCTACTATGACAAAAGTTAGGGAGCAGCAACACAGAAAATTCCCAACTGAACCAAAACGCTTCTTGAAATACACCATGAATCTGGCAGAATTTAGTAAAAAAATGAAAAACCTATCTGCATACATCCAGCCTCATAGCTTCCTGCACCATGTAAGAATCTTTCTCGCCTGCTCCCACATCTGACTCACAATCATAAATTCTCTAGTGCTATCATGAGACATAAGTAAAAGATTTTTTTTTCTCTTTTTTAAATAACAGGTCTTTATGCAACAGCAAAGATACTGTTGCTGACGCAATGACAGTATTAATTTCAGTGAAAATATTTACCAGTATTTTCCGTAGGATAAATTAGCATAATTGATTCTCCTATTTTCTGCCTTCTAAATCCATGTATTTATACCACATGTTCTCACCAGCAGCTTATTCTAGCCCTGATCCTGAGAGGTAGGCTCCCCATGCTAACTCACTCACTTAAATATATGTTTGCATAAATTAAAAAATCTATGTGTGTTGAGCTTCTTATGGGACTGAAGCCATTATTTTTACTACAAAATCTGATATTAACATATATGCTTCATCTTTCTACTTCGTTATTTCTATGCAAGCTCTCTGAATGTTCCCCCTGAATAAAATAAACAAATAGATAAATAAAAATATTAATAATAATCATAAAATATATAGCTAATGGGCACAGTTTAGCTGGACATGTTTGGTGACCCTTACCTGCTTTTGTTCAGACATAACCATAAAACAGTCTATCACTTGTACTAGATATCCATCATCAATGACTGAAAGGTGGCCTTGCAGTGTTAGCAGTAAACTTCTCAGCTAAGGATTTCCTCAAACACAACTCCATAGGAACAATTCTGATGTGAACTGCCTTGAGCCATCTTTATAATGCAAATTAATATGTGAAAGAAGTGAATTATAGTCTACAGCTGAGTGATTTTCATACTGCAACTCTTTGAAAGAAGGGCTTTTGGAGACCAAAACACTCATATATATTTTATTCTGAAGAGAGTGTTTTACAAGTTTCAAATTGCAGTGTGTTCAGTCACTTAGTTTTACTGAGTCAGATAAAGTGTTATTGTTGCTACACATTCACATCTGCAGAGAGGACTGATTTTCAGGCTTTTAGTTTTTCTCCATTTTTTTTCCCCTTTTGTTCATTACTATATTTAAACAGTTTGATTCGAGTTTAGATTTTGGCTTCTAGAAATGTAGGAAATCTTAAAATAATCTCCCACATAAAAGAATAATGAAATGGTATACAAACATTAAGAAGTACTTGGAAAGACTTCAGAGATAAATCTAAGAAAAGGGGGTTCTAAAGTCTTCAGAAGAAAGCTTTGCCACACCAGATGTTTACCAACCCTGTGAATTATATCTTGTGACTTAAACAGAACAGGGTTAGGCCTGCACTGCAGTTAGACAAGATAAGAAAAAGACTGGGGAAAATGACAGAAAAGAATGGTGTTGATAGCTCATAATGCCATGATCTTTTGCAGTCACTACTGACACCAGGTTGATCTATTGAATGAGCAAACCTGTCTTTTGGAAGATGTACGAAGTTCACCTCAGAATTCCAAACTGTACGAGCATTTCATTCTCCTAGTTAAATTCCACATTTCTATAATTATTTTTTTTTTCTCATTTACATGGCTTTCTATACTATTTTTCTAAAGCCTTTGCTAGTATATTTTCAGCTAGAGATACAAGCACATACTTTCACTATCTCTAAGACATCGACTATAAATCAGTCTTTAGGAAAACAATATAATTATATTTTTATCATTGGGGAGAAAAAATATCTTTTTTTTAAGGCAAGTTAATTAGTTTTAGACAATATTTTTTTCCACATTAGGCAATTGGAAATTGTTATTTATTTAACAACACTGGTTATTTAATCAGAACTCAGGGAATATTCTGATTGTCTGTCTTTTAGAGATGGTATTCGCAATCAAACCAGATACTCCCTTGGAGTATTTTCTGTACTTTTTGGATTCAGCAATGTTACCCACTCAGATTCCAATCAAGCTATTTTTTTCTCTCACTGCTGCAATAGTCATTGGAAAGTGCAGGTACCAATAAAGTATCATGTTTTTTATATAGTTTCAAAAAGTAAATTTGAAAATTTTGATATCTACATCAACACATGACATTTCTTTCAGTGCACTTCCAATTAGATAAAAGAAACATTTAAGGGCAGAGAGATTTCATGGCATAAAGTTGCTCGGGGAAGAAACTCCACAGAAAACCAAAACCAACACTGACATGTATTACCCATTATGGAGAAGAGTACTGTACTTAGAAGTATGCTTGGTGAGCAAAGGAATAGAAAGTATTCTATTCGATATATGCACATATGCTACATATTTGTAGCATTTGTAGCATGTGGAGGAAAGAAAGTGAGCTAAGGGTTGACCTGTATTATCAAAACCGGTGAAAGACAAATCTGACTTTCAAATACCATATCACTACCTTCAGGGTTGTTACAGAATAAACTTGCAAGGTGATGGAAGACTTGTATGGTATCTATCTTCTGCTGGATGATCTCACAGCAATTAACCTCATACAGATTTATAAGCAAAAGCAAATAAAACAAAACAAAACACACACACATAAAATAAATAAATAAATAAACCACAAAGAAAAACAACCCAAAACTTACCTAAAATACCATCTGTGATAGACGAAAAGATCTTAACAGAGTAATGGTTTCAAGTGATAAGATTTCCCCCCAGCATGTTAATTTTCCAATATGAAACCAAGTATCTTATATGGAAATAGGAAGAAAAGGAAGTTTGGTTATTTCAGAATAAATTTATTTTCCTGTCTCTACTGGCACATAAAATAGAGAGCAAGGAGTAGTATTTTTCCTAACTATCCTTAGTCTCTGAAACACTAACCTGTTAGCCACGTAACTTACCATAAATAGATTGCAAAACTGTCTGTTTTGTGAATTATAGCAGTCTTTCAAATAGTAAGAAGTGAAGTTGCAGCAATTTTCCATGTCTTTAACTTTACTGTCAAAAGTTACATAAGGGCTATGTCCTGGAACTGATGGCTTTCAAGCAGAAAAACTTAATTTCTTGTATTAATAGGTGAAAAGAGGGGCTTTGCTAGTATAATTTTAATCTAATTATTAGCTCAATGAAAAGTTTTTGCAAACTCAAATTTAACATATACGGTACACTGTTGTTAATAGTCTACATGTTGTCTAGATTGCAGTACAGACACAATTGTATGTCTTTGAGAAAGTAGATTTGAGTTAAAATAAGAAAAAATGGGGTGAGAGGAGAACAGTTATTTTTAAGCATAGCAGCATTTTAGATTCTATGCCAGGGAACAATTTAATTCAGCTTTTTCATCTTTGTTTGCTACTATTGTTACAATGAATGAGTGAACTTAATTAGCACTGCAAGGAAGGGGCTATGTTCCCAAAGCTCTCTAAATGGGAAAAATATTTAAAGAACATAAACCAGGGAAGGATAAAAAATGTTTTGGAAAGAACTACACAACCTTGTACACAGTTGCATATGCTATCTCTACAGAGTAGTTTCAGAAGCGTCTTTGATATTTTCCTAAAACAAATCAGATGGTTGCTTTCTGCATACATGACACTCACAAAAAGGTGTCTAGAGAAACAAATAAAGTGAGCACTTCATCTCAAGTCCAAAAAATAAAATTCACACATGATGACACAATCAGATGACATTGGACCTTCTTATTCTGTTTATTGAAATTCACATGTAAGCAGGAATACAACATAGGCTCCTGACTACTACAAAGGAAATATAGGCTCAAGATAAGGCAACTTGTGAGGAAAGCAGGAAGTCTGAGGTCTTTCCTTGGATGTATTTTCTTTGTGACTTTGGGCAACAGGTTCTGAAGATACCACAGAGTTCTTTCCAATTATTTTAACTGGGAGTTACATCAGACAATTCAATTATCTGTGTTTCATATCCCCACCTGTAAAAGAGAAATATCATTATTAGTCTTCCTCTGAGACATGTCTGTTCTTTAGGTTTATATTTGAAACTGTGTCACAGGAATAAATACCATTTCTGTTGAAGGGATCATATTTCTTGTTCGGAGCCTTATGGAGTCTCCTAAGAACTACTACTACCATTGAAAAGGATCCACATCTTTCAATAAGCAGTAAATATGGAAAGTCTTGCAGAGATGGATGCATGCTTTAGCATACCATGTGATTATGCATGAAGGCTAAAAGTGAACTTATGGCCAAATACAGAACTATTCTTTATTTGTGCTCATATTATTGTGGTTCTGCACTATTCAAGTCAAAACCACAAAGTTCCAGACATATCCTTAAAAACCAAACTTATCATGCTATAAAATTTTCTGCTTTCATTGTTTACAGTGTCCAGGCCATAGACTGTAGGCTATTCAAAAGTTTATATCTGTATACTGCTTTTTACACAGGGGACTCAAACCTGCTTGGAAGCACAGTTTTCTACAGTAGTATACATATTAATGAAGGGAAAGGAAAAGGGAAAGGGAAAGGGAAAGGGAAAGGGAAAGGGAAAGGGAAAGGGAAAGGGAAAGGGAAAGGGAAAGGGAAAGGGAAAGGGAAAGGGAAAGGGAAAGGGAAAGGGAAAGGGAAAGGGAAAGGGAAAGGGATATGAAGATGGAGTTTGGAGCAACAGGATCCACGTTGTTCTCAAGTGTAATTAAAAAAAAAAATCAATGAGAAAAGAAGCTGTGAAACTTTCATCCACCTTCTTGTAAATGTGAAAGATTTAGCTGGTATATATACATATTTTGACAATCTGTTAACTCCGTGTATGAATAAATGAAATATTTACCTAACAGTAGCAACTATAACAAAAAACCCTCCATGAATTCTCTTGGAAGCCTTCCAGAATCATGCAGTAGACATTTTGTTGTGGTTTTGTTTTCATATTCTGCTCACTTCATGTCACATCATCTCCTGAAGAGAAATGTTGAGGGTTATCTTTAACTAAATAACTTTCTTTTTAAATATTTTTGATATACAAGATGGAGCTCATTTTCCACACCTGATTATGGCTTTTCCTAAGTCAGCAGACTTGAAGGCAAGGAATCATCACAGTGCTGGTCGTATAAACAGGCAGCAAATTCTAATTATAAAATTCTGCTTATGACCAGTCAAAAACATAGACTAGGAACAATGTAATACTATAACAAAACATAAGTGAACTTTTAATGTGGAAGAAAAATGTCACAAACTGACATGTGCACAACTTCTGGTCATGTCCATACTAAGAGAAGCTGATCATGACTAAATGATGTGATATTAGAGTAATCATGCTGATAGTTGTAATGAGGGAAGTCATTAGCAGCAAAGTGAAGTTGCAGAAAACTAATGCAATCTAACTTCCTTCACTAAATAGTATGATAATGCCAATGTCCAATTCATATCTCTCTCCTTGCATATTTAAACAGGGTAGACAGTGACACAGTGTTCTCTTTTCAAATAAAGCAGCTCAGTGACCTGTGTTAATTTGCATACAAAAGTAAATGTCCAGTTCTTTATGAAAAGGCCACCATTTCCTTCTTGGGAAAAGGAACTCAGCTGTACTCTTTCTATATGCTCACTGCTTACATCTCGTTTGACATTAGTATAATTTTCATTCTGTTACAACACAGGTAAGTGGCAATTTTAGGTAATCAATATTCACTAATACATTCCATCATACTTCCAAACCTGTCTTCCTCATTCAGGCTAATCAGGACGTGGTAGCTCATTTAGGACCACGACCTGCATTTTGCCTGCCTGTATTGGGCCTTCAGGACTTTCATGTTTGGTGGAGAACTGCAATAAAGTTGTCACCGAAATCAAACACTGGTTTGAGAGATGATATAGATCCAGGTCAATAACTAATTAAAAGAATACATAGGTTGTTACCCTTTGCTCCTATAATGAAGTGCTGAAACATTAATTTCTTGACTGTTTTGTAATTTGATTTCTCATAAGCTGTAATGTCAGTGCCATTAATACCTACTCAGAGACATGACAGGTGGCCAGGAGAACTTGTGCAGAGACGCCTTAATGGTCATGCATTACTCTCTGAAAACTACGAGATTAACATTTCTGTTGCGGATACAGGAATGACTAGCCAAGAATGAATTGTCTGTTTATTCTGCTACTGCTCTATAAATCCTATAGAAGGCATCTTTTTACAGTTTAACCAAATATTCACATTTTAAAATCCAAGAGTGCAAAAGACTAATTTCCACACTCACCCATCTGTGTTTATGGCTAAATGTTCCTCAGCTGTTGCAGGTAGAAATCCAGAGACAGTGTACCTCCTCTGCAGCTGTACTGTGCTTATGATACAGTGGCACTGTGAGGGTTTCCAGGGATGCTGGTGGCTCCTCTCCAACTTCCCCAGCATCTGGTGTTACTGTGCCATAGCCTGTCACAGCAGAGACACAAATCCAATGTCCCCACAGCATGTCATGGTGATGGCATACCCATGGCAGGGCTCCAACAACACTGGTCTCAACTGGGAGACAGGACTCTCATACACTGCTCTGTGTCATCTCAGATGGGTGTATGGGTCTGGCTGGGATGTTAACTTTCCCTGCAGCAGCCCATACAGTGCTGTGCTCTGCACTTGTAGCTAGAACAACAGTATTATCACACCAGTGTTGTGTCTATTGCTGAGCAGTGCTGGCACAGCATCAGGATTCTCTCTAACCCTCCTAGGGAGTGGGCAAAAAAGTGAGAAGAGAAATATCACCAGGGCAGCTGACTTAAACCAACCAAAGGGATATTCCATACCATGTGATGTCAAACTCAGCAATAAAACATGGAAACAGGAAGAAGAGGGGAGGGGTGGGCTCTCGTTGGGAAAATGTCGGTCTTCCTCCCAAACACGGGCTACGTGCGTTGAGGCCCTGCTTCAAGGACGTGTTCAAGCATCTCTCATTTGTGGGAAGTAGAGAGTAATTTCTTTCCTCTGCAGTTCCAAATAGCCTTTATTTTTGTTTTGTTTTCTTTTCCCTTTCTCCCTCCCTTTTCCCCTTTCCTTTTTTTCCCTTTTGTTAAATTGATTAGCGAGGTGGGGGTTGGCCTGTTCTCCCATGTGCCTGGTGACAGGACGAGGGGGAATGGGCTAAAGTTACGCCAGGGGAGTTTTAGGTTAGATGTTAGGAAGAATTTCTTTACTGAAAGGGTTGTTAGGCACTGGAACGGGCTGCCCAGGGAGGTGGTGGAGTCACCATCCCTGGAAGTCTTCAAAAGACGTTTAGATGTAGAGCTTAGGGATATGGTTTAGTGGGGACTGTTAGTGTTAGGTTAGAGGTTGGACTCGATGATCTTGAGGTCTCTTCCAACCTAGAAATTCTGTGATTCTGTGATTAGTTAATAACAATCTTTCCTTAATAATTATTATTATTATTATTTCCCTTTAATTCAATTATCCTTATCTCAACCCATGAGTTGTTCTTTACTTTACTTCTTCCCTTCCTCATCTAAAGAGGGGGAGTGAGAGAGCAGTTGTGGTGTTTAGCTGCCCAGCATGGTAAAACCACCACGGTGCCTTAGGTGCACCAAGAGCGAGGCTCTTAGCTTGGAATATTTAGTATGTGTTACAAAAGCTAAAGAATTTTAAATCAATGTATTTTAAACCATGTTCAGAAATGAAAGTTGCCAGCCACATGGCTTGCATGTCTCATTGAAAAAGTTAGATTCTCACCATGTCTTACTAGGGTCCTGTAGAGTGTCTCTTGCTGTAACAGTTCTGTGATCATCATATTCTAAGGAGTAAATTTCACATTTTAAGGACTGAATTTTCTATGTAGAACTCATGCAAATAGTCTATTATCCCTTAATGAATCAGATCACAACTAGTCACAGCTCCAGCTAATGGAAGGGAGAAGCTAAAAATAAAGAGATGACAATTAAAGTAACAGTTTAATTTCTGTCTTACATAAAGAATGAACTCAGGCTATGAAGAAAGAAAAAAAAAAAAAAAAAAAAAAACTTTCTAATACAATACAGAAAGCAATGGTTTATTTTGCATAAACAGTGTATAAAAAAAAAAAAAAACTCGATTACTGTCACTCAGGATTTTAGCTGGCTCATAACTCTATTCTAGTTTAGGCATGTGACCTCCAATTAAAGGATGTTAAAATATGCACAGTTTGGGGAAACTCTCTTAAGTCAGTTCCAAAGAGTCTTTGTTCCACTTGTCAAAGCAATTTAGTAATAATAAATCAGCTTTGTGTGCAGAGATCAACATTTTAATAAAAATGTAAAAAGCATACAGCAAAATGTGCAAAGATGGTGCCTTTTGGGACCCAAGCAGTGTGTGTACGTGTAAGCATAAGTATGTGTGTTTCTATGTGTCTGGTTATGTGCCTGGTTGATGTGAGCCATTTGCCAACAATTACATTTTCCACAGAGGCCTCAGTGTTGTTCTTGTATTTATAAAGTATTCAAAATGTATGAGGGGGAGGAAGGGGAAGAGGGAAGGGGGAATGGCGACAAAGCAAAGCAATAACTTGGAAATGAAAAGAATGACTGCAGCACTCTGTATCGATTTCCAGCAGGCAGGGACATGTCAGATAGTATTTAAACCATCTGCTGGAAAGATTTGGATTATTCTTATCATCACATTATCTCCCAGGTAGCATTTCCTCCAACAAATAAAATAATTCTGTGTTTAAAGATAAAAGTCAGATTAATTATTAACTTGTTTAAAGGATCCATTTATGGACACTTTTGTGGTGCTTCTCTACTTGTTTATTCTTCCCCTTTGTTAATCTCAGCTGTAATTTCCTTGCTGAAATTCTTTGTTTATTTTAGGATGATTATCATCTCTTATGCTCACAATAGCTTCTGACCCAGATAATTTCCCATTCACCTGAGCAATAACAAATGGATTTATATTTCCCCAAGTTTTCTCAGTAATAAATTAAGATGACATACAGTATCTCACTGTTTTCAATCCATAGAGTTT